TAAAAGGGTGCCGCCCATCACAACGGGGAAGGCGTGGCGGCAGGAGCGTGAGGCAGCTGGCCACAGGGCATCCGCAGTCAGGAAGCAGAGAGAGATGGGTGCTGGTGCCCTGCTCGCTCTCTCCTTTAATTCGGTGTGGAACCCCCCCGTGGGATGCTGCTGCCCACACTGAGATGGGTCTCCCTCATCAGTCACCTTTTCTGGAAACACCCCCATAGATACACCCAGAGGTGTCTCCATGGCGATTCCAAATCCACCAGGTTGAAAATGAAGATGAGCCATCACAATGACTGTCAGCGCTTGGTTCTCTTCGGGATTATTTAACTGTATTCTCTAACGCATTTTCTACTGGTTCATTTTTTTATTTTTTATTTATCTATTTTTAATTTTATTTTATGTATATGTGTTATACAATTGCACCGTGTCATGCAGTACAAACAGAGGACAGAGGAGGGCATTGGATCCCCTAGAACTGGAGTCATAAATGGTTCTGGGTGCTGGGATTCAAACCCAGGTCCTCTGTTGAGAGCAGTCAGTGCTCTTAACCTCTGAGCTGTGTCTCCAGCCCCTTGCTACTATGAGTAGTTTGATTTTTGTCTTAAACACTTCTCTATAATTGTCAAATCCATTTACGAAAACCTGAGACTGCTTCTCCCACCTCTACCACTCTATACAACCTGCAACGGAAGCTGCCCCTGATCCCACCTGTTTCCTCCAACGCTGACACCCACGCAAGGGCCACAGCTTGGCGAGAACTCCAAGCTCTGCAGAGCTACATTACGTGCTGAAATGAGCTCTGTTCTTAATTTGATTCTTTTTTCCCCTGTAACAAGCAGAGTTTACATTACAGATAAATTGCCCGGAAATTTCAATTTAATAAGGCATATGCATTTTTCGGGTCCAGAACCACAGAAAACATTTTGCTGGCTTGTATTTTCATACAGAAAAGTTTATTAAAAAGACAGCTTTGAAAATGTCAGAAATTTACATAGTGTGCCTGGCCAGTTGGTTCAAAAGGGCCGATTTAACAAAAGTGGTTAAAAGAGGTTGGCCGACGGGTTGGCCTGAGCTGCGGTCCCTTCTGGGTCAGGGAGCAGGTACCTGCCATTCTATCACCCCAGCTGTCAGTTTGGATCTCAGGGCAGGGGGAGCTGGCACAGATGCTCAGAGTGCTCCCCAGGGCAGTGGTCTTGGCCTCAGTGCTCCCCGGTGTGTCCCCAGGAGCAGCACACTGGGATGCAAAGGCACCTGGGCTACAAGCATGGGGCATGTGTACACCTTCCCAAGGTGCTGTGGAAAGGGCTTCAAATAAAGCAAGTAGATAGACACAGAGAAACTAAGTTATATGATCCCCAGAACACAGATAAATACCTGTGGATGCCTGATTTTTTTAATATTTATTATTTTTATTTTATGTGTATGAGTATATTGCCTGCTTGTAGGTAAGTGCACCCATGTCGTACAGTGTTCTGTGTGTATGTTTGTTTGTGGGTGTGTTCATGTTCCTGTGTGTTTGTGTGCACATGTGTGAGCATGTGCCCATGTACATGTCTGTACACATGCGTGTGGATGACAGAGATTGGTGTCATGTGTCTTCCTCTATCACTCTCTGTTTTATTTTTCTTTTCTTGAAACATCGGTGGGGGGAGGGGCATGCCATGCTGTGCTGCATAGCTTTAGTGTCAACTTGACACACCTGGGTTGAGGGAGCCTCAATTGGGAAATTTCACTCATTGGACTGGCCTGTGGCCATGTCTGAGGGGCATCTTCTTGATGAGTGATGTGGGAGGGCCCAGCCCACTGTGGGTGGTGCCACCCCTGGGCAGGTGGGCCTGTGTTGCATAAGAAAGCAGGCTGAGCAGGGGCCAGGGGAGCAAGTCAGTAAGCAGCGTTCCTCCATGGCCTGTGCTCCAGCTCCTGCCTCCAGGTTCCTGCCCTGAGTTCCTACCTTGGGCTCCCTGATGACTGTGACCCGGGAGATGTAAGACAAATAAACCCTTTCCTCCCCAAGTTGGTATTTTGTCACAGCAATGAAGAACAAACTAGGACACATGCCATATGTGCAGAACTCAGAGGAGAACCCATGGAAATCCGTTCTCTCCTTCCACCATGTGGGTCCCAGGGATCGAACTCAGGTTGTTAGGTTTGGCAGCAAGCGCTTTTGCCTGCCTCACCATCGTGTCAACCCTCCATCTGTTTTTTCTCAGATAGGGCCTCTTATTAAACCTGAGGGCTCACCGATTCTAGATTGACTGACTACCGAGCCCCAGGGATTCTCCTATCTCCAATCCCCTACCCTCCAGTGCTGGGGCTGAAGGCACTCAGTACCACACCTAGCTTTTTAGATGGTGGCTGTGGGGAATCTGAACTCAGGCCCTCATGCTTATACAGCATACGGCAAGCACTTTGCCACCTGAGCATCTCCCCAGCCCCTACTGGGTTATACTTTAAGGAAGAAAACTACCATAGCACCAACCTTCAAAACCACACACACAAGCCCTGGCTTTCCTTAGAAATGAGGCATCCCGGGCTGCTGATGCTCAGTCGGTGCTGCTTTTACAGCACGGCCGCTGAGCTCATGTCTCTGGGCACTGATCTCAATGTACTGGCTCTGGACACAGGACAGCACGTCAACCCATTCATCACACTGCAAGGTCGTAGCATCCTCAGACAAAAACAACAAAGAGAGAAACAGACAGTGCCGTTCACATGGCGACATGAAAAGCTGAACTGCTTAATTTGGTTTTTGTGTTCTAAACTGAGCTGAGTGATCAGGGAATAAAATACGGTCCATTTAAAATAGTGTTTCCAATCTGTTGAACCACAGGTCACTCCTAGATCCACAGTGAAGCTATCACCCCATGAAATGGGACGCAAATATCACCTTTCTTTGTAATTTCCTCCTCCAGAATTGTTAGAGTCAAAGCATAAATGATGAAGCCGGTGTGTGCTGGAGATGGGTGTGGTGGCACACACTGGCAATCCCAGCACGTGCGAGGCAAGAGGACTGGAGGGGTGCGCTCAGGCTGGGTTAAGTAGTAAGATCCTGCCTCGATGGGGCTGGAGAGATGACTCAGTAGTTAAGAGCACTAGGTGCTCTTGCAGAGCACCCAGTTCCCAGCACCCATGTGGCAGCAAACAACTGTCTATGATTCCAAGTCCAAGAGTTTCAATGCCCTCTTCTGGCCTCTGCAGACACTGCATGCATGCAGCATACATGCAGGCAAAACACTCAGACACATAAAAGAAACAAATTTGAAATCAAGGCCTGGGCTATGGTTCAGCGATAAAGAACTTGCCTACAATGCACAAGGCTCTGGGTCAAATCTTCAGCAACATGCAAAAAAGAAAAAAAAAACAATGCTGAGCCGGGCATTTAATCCCAGCACTCGGGAGGCAGAGGCAGGCGGATCTCTGTGAGTTCAAGGCCAGCCTGGTCTACATAGTGAGTTCCAGAGAGATGCTGAGCATCCATCACGTGCCAGGCACTCCAGCTGGCCCTGGAGACAGTATCTACTATGAAAGGAGGAATAGACTGCACACTGGGTAAAGTCCGGCCCCTGGAATTCAGCACGTCTGCATTGAATTCTAATCGGACTGGTTGCTCTTCAAAACAAGAATAATAACCCATTTCCTTTGGGCTGTGAATCTCAGAAGCAACGTGGTACCACCAAAGATGTGTAGCCCAAAGCTGGGCACAGGTCAGTGTCTCTTGCTGACTCTAACCAACTTTGGTCCTGTCCTCATTGCCAGGGAGCTTTGACCACGGCCAAGGCAGACGATCCACAGGCCACATTAGGCTGCAGCCAGCACTGTAACGTAGGAACGTTCCTCACAAGGACCTGTGGCAGGTGACAGATTCTACCCGGGAAGTTGCACAGGGTAGATGAGGGGACTGGAGTGGCTTTTGAAAAATAGTTGAGGTTTGCCAAGTGCAGACGTGAATTACTATGGAAATGAAAAGCTAGTATTTTCCAAGCAGTTCATTCTCATGAGTAATATGTCTCTTCTGTTTTTAAAAAATAATTGAAATGGCAAGTGTTCATGAGAGCCCCGTCAGCTTGCAGTAGTCTCTCGATCTCTCCAGGCTCTGTCACCACTGCAGAATTTTCCAGGTGCTCTGCAGTGTGGGATCATTACAGAACACCATATACAAAAGGGGCAGAGAGGCTGTGGGTCCTGATGAACCCTTGACGTATCCACAGCCTGAAAGCTATCACACTCTCTGGGGCCCTGTGCGGAACCCAGGCTCCTGCACCTGCACAGCCCTTCTGCAAACAGTTGTCCCCAGAGTAAAGAGCTTTGCCTCGCCGGCCTTGACAGAACCCCGTGTCCTGTAAGCCACACCTTAGTCTCCTCATCTGTGAAGGGGGATCATAACAGTGCCAAGCCTGCAGGGCTGCTCTGAGGGCTGGCAGAGCAGAGACTAGCTCATCAGGACAGTGCCTAACCATATAACCTCTTGGTGTGATGCAGGAGGCCAATGTCCTTACCATGGTTGTTATCAAACAGGTGCCATGCCCTGATGCTATTATAGGAAAGATAAGACCACACGCTTTCTGGGAAGCAAACAGGAGCCTCTCCCTGGAGCCTGTGTGTGTGTGTGTGTGTGTGTGTGTGTGTATACATGGGGAGGGCTCACATGCACATGTATGCTCATGGGTGTGACCGCCAGAGGTCAGCCATAGGTACACTTCCTTGGACACTGTCCATGGTGTTTTTTGAGACAGTGTCTCACTGCCAGGTGTGGGACACTCAGCTAGGCTGGGTAACTGGTAAGGACAGAGATCTCCTCTAAGGTTATCACAAGGAGGAGTGCATGTGGCCTGTGCGACGTGGAGCATGCTCTGGGTGGATGGTGGGCCATGGCTTAGCAGATGAACAGCTAGAGCTGAGATGGGGGGACTAGGCATGGCCTGGCACTGGGCAGGGGACCCAGGGCCCCATACTCAGCAAATGCTCTTCGGAATGCTGACTGATGTTACATGGGATTTTTTCAGATACTCTATTTACAAGGACCCAGCAGGATGGCTCAATATTAACCCCATCAATGGGACTGTCGACACCACAGCCATACTGGACCGAGAGTCCCCATTCGTCCACGACAGTGTGTACACCGCCCTCTTCCTGGCCATCGACAGCGGTGAGTTATTTGAAAAGGACCCTCGGGGAATCCTTGTACTCTGGGGTATTTTTGTGTTTCTGTGTTTCTTTGGACACACACGGGGATGTTCACAGGGAGGAGGGAAGTGAATGGGAGCCAAAAGGGCATTACTAAGTGCACACGTATTGGCACAGTGGCTCCTGAGTTGAGAGATTTCGGTCTTTGTAGAAAGGCACAATTTCCAGTCAGGGGTCAGAGCGCTGAGCTCACTGTACCCTACGGGGGGACCCACTCGTGTCGTCCATCCCCCTGTGTGCTCCCATCTTCTAAGGGGATTCTGGGATGGGATGCAAGGGGAAAGAAATTCCCAGAGGACATCACTGACCTCTGAAACTGAACTGTCCCTGTGTGCTTGCCCCACGATAACATGAGTCCGTGGAAAGACATGGGGTCCACTCATCAGTCACTTCACAATGACCAAACGCTCGTTGCTCATTCAAAAACATGAATGCAGCCTCCCCGTGTCAGCCTGTGTTAGATGCTGGGGACACAGCAGTGGGCAGACCAATACCCATCTCGTGAGACACACCCACAAACCAAGCGCAAAGCCTCTGGAGCATTCTAAGCTTGTCACAGATCAAACTGTGGGAACAGTGGCAGACAGTGGGGAGCCCTTAGGAGATGGTGGCTTGGACCAACCAAGGAGATGCTAGGCAGAAACCAGAATCTGGAGGCAAACTGTGGATTGTTAGTGCAGAGGAGGCAGGGTCGTCATGAACTCACCAAGATTTCCATCTGGCTGGATGTTTCCAGATTCTTGGCATCTTATTCAAACAATTAAAGAAATTCACACAGCTAGCAAAGTAGCAATGGATTTCTATTCAGAAGCAAAGCTGGGGTACAGGCCAGACATGCTGCAAGAGACCAGTGGATGCTGGGAGATTTACTCAAGCGCCTTGGGCTACCTCTTGGGGCTTCCTTTTGAAGGTTCAAGAGGAAGAAGACTTGATTGCCAGGGGGTGGGGTATGGGTGGGTTTCTGTTTTGATTGACAGGCTTGGGTTATGCAAACCTTTATTCACTGTGTATGTCCTTTCCCACGATGCATCTGATTGTGATCATATGCATGCCCAATCATTCATAAGCATGAGATGGAAATGGGGGGAAGGTTCCCCTAAAAGTTCACATAAAGCACAGTTTTCCTTAGTGCTCACACACCTGAAAGCAGTTCAAGCTGTATCAGCACACTGCTCCTTGTTCCAGGATGTGTTTGGCCACAAAAGAGGAGTTACTAAGGGTTGCTAGGGAACTATAAGTCAGAGGGATCAAATTCCTTTGTTTAGAAAGAGGTGTACATGAAGCTCGATGCAGGTGGAGGTCCCAGATGGCTAAATGCATCCATTGGAAAGGGGTGTAGCACAAGCACCGTGGAGACTCGGGTTGCCCGGCTCTCCCTACAGGTGCTGCCTTAAACTGGTTGTGGAGAATCGGGGCTGGGCACTGAGACATCTATTATATCAAACACACAAAAGGAACGTTCCCCTGTTATTCCCAAAACCAGCTGTGTGTAGCTAAAGACTGGGTTTTGAGTCTTTCTATATTCAGATGAATGTTCACAGGGCTCTCTATAGAAGCCTGTCATCACAATTAGCAGCAAGGTGTGGACTAGGAACTCTCAGAGCCAGCCTCCCCATCCTGGGTACCCGAGCACAAACCAAGGGGGAAAGCACACATGGCCGACGAGAGCCATCAGTGGCGCGCAACACAGAGAGAGGACACCATGGCACTGAGTTTAGCCTTGGAAGACGGGTGGACTTGGACAAGGGTCCAACGTCAGGAGGTGGTGCTTCCTAGGTGTGTAGGGCAAGAAATCAGAGCTGTAAGAGAGAGAAATGTGGGATTCAGAAAAGAAGAAGGAGTGTCCACTGGCAGTGAAGTCAGTTTGATTGCTATGGGACAGTCTTAGCTGCAACAAGGTTCAGATGATGTGCTGGTGAGATGGTTCAGCATGTAAATATACTTGTCACCAAGCCAGGACCAGACTCAGGACCCACATGGTGGAAGGAAAGAACCAACTCCAGCAAGTTGTCCTCTGACCTCCACACACATGCCATGGCATGCACACGGTCGCACATATAAACACATACGAGAGAAACACAAATAAATGAATAATTTTAAAAGTTAAATTTTGTAAAAGTGTCTCAGCTGATCCGGGATAGAACAAAAGACCTTAAGTTGCTGATGTGGAAACTGACATGCTGAACCAGCGTGTAGACCATTCCATATTGAGAGATGAAGATGTTGAGCAAGGTCCTGGAGACCCACGGAGGAATGATGTGTGTCCTCGTGTTTGGGGAGTTCATGAGTTAGTCTAGTAGACTGATGATCCCAGTTAGAGGGTCACACCTGATCTGCCTGAGCAGAGCCCAGAAGAGTCCCTTCTCCATCCTGGGGGCAGTGATAGACACATCTCAAGAGAGAAGGCATCTGAACTGAAAGATTAATTCGCTGATGTAGGGTGGGACATTCTACTAGAAAGAATATGGATCTGTGGGGAGTTGGGTCATGTGGCAGCTTGTGTGTGTGCAAAGACAAAGAGAACTGAGTGGGCACTAGACTGTTCCCAGGTGGGACCTGGGTCCTGCACTGTAGACCAGGTACCCATCAGAGTGCCTGGTTTAGAATAGTCGCTCGGGCTGTGCAACAGATCATGCAACCAGCTGTGGAACACTGGACTTGAACTTGACTATGTCACCCACCTCCTTCCAGAACAAACCATGCCGAAGAAAAACAGCTCACCTCCCATGATGGGTGTGAGAAGGTTGGAGGCTGGGGGTGTGAGCCTGATGTGGCAAAACCCAATGTAGAAATAAGGACTTAAACCTGGTCAGTGAGGGTGCAGATGTGCGGAGAGCCTGAGGTCTTCCAGGGTTGCAGAACTGGACCAGAAGGAAGGATGAATCTAGTAAGCCTAAGAGAGGAGGAAACAGCTCTGTGCGGATGAGCTGATGCAGGGTAGCTGCTCTGGTTTCTCTCTGTTGCTGTGATGACATACCCTGACCAGAAGCCATCTACAGAACAAAGGGGGTTGTTCATCTTACAATCCCATCCGAGCAGGGAGCAACAGCAGTGGACACTTGAAGCAGTTAGGAACGTCACATCCAGAGCTGAAAGCAGAGATAATCTTAACACTTGTTTGCTCCTCTTTAAACAGTCCTCTTTAAACAGTTCATTCCCTTGTCTAGGGACTGCCTCCCACAGTGGGCTGGGCCTTCCCACCTCCACTAACAATCAGGAAAGACCCCACAGGCCAACCTGATTTAGACAGTTCTTCAAGGAAGAGGTTCTTCCTGGGTTTTATGTTAACTAGTATTAACTGTCAAGTTAAAGTGTCAAGCTGACAGTTAAACCGCGATGGCAGATCGTTCCATTACACCTTGAGAGAATGTGGATGTGTGGGGAGCTGGGGAGCTAACGTGGGAGGCGAAGTTGACGGAGGCTGTGCAGCACAAAACATGGGGGGCAACACAAGGCTCCCAGGCAGACCAGGAATGACTGTCCCATGGATAGACAGGAGCTTGTTTCAGAAGACCGGTCTCATCCTGCTTTGGGTGGATGTTGGCATGGTCTGTGAGATTCTGGCAGCAGAGGAGGGGAACATTTGCTTAAGGCATCACCTGTGCAAAAGAGACGGGAGCCATCAGAAGGGAAGGGCTTCTGGAGAGAGCCGGTGGACACATGCCACGGGCATCAGCAGTGAGGACACTCAGCCAGATCTGACTCACGTGCTGTGTCATGAGGGCGGCCGTGATGAACAGCTGCAGGATTCACTGCAGACTCTATGCCACATAAAAGTATCTGTAATTCACTATATACGTGGATGAAAATGTCACAATGAAACCCACTATACTGTACAATTAATACACACTAATTTGGGGGATGGAGAGAGGGCTCAGCTGTTAAGGCCACTGGATGTTCTTGCAGAGGCCCTCGGCTCAAATCCCAGCACCCACATGTGGCTAACAACCGCCTGTAACTCCAGTTCCAGGGGATCCGATGCCCCCTCTGACCTCACAGGCATTGCAAGACATGGGTGCACTTACATACATGGAGGCAACACACTCATATACAAAATAAAAATAATAAAACATTTTAATGTATACACTAATTTTTAAATGTTTGGGCTTCTGGCCTTTTTTTTAAGTATCCAGGGGCCAGTGAGATGGCTAAGTGGGTAAAGGCACTTGCTGCTAAGCCTGGAGACCTGAGTTCAACCCCCCGCTCACACACTCTCACACACACACAATTAAATAAGATTCAGGCTAGCATTTTGTAGGACAGAAGCATAACTCAGTGATAGAACCCATGATTACATGATTAGCATATGCAAGGCCCTCCATTCAGTCCCCAGCACCATAAAAAAAGACAAAGCATCCCTCTAAGGACATCAGTGAGTGACCTTTGACATCTTTTATCCTCGGCATTGCTCAGGTTCTCTGTGTGGTTGAACATCCTACCGTGTCCCCACTAGCTGTCAAGTTTCAGCATAGACAGAACCTCAGGTCACACTAGAACTGAGTGTTTCTGCAGAGCGCGTGTGGCCGCACCTGATTCTCACAGTGCTGGACATACACACAGAAGCTGTGTGCCCAGGTACCCGTGAAAGCTGCTTATGAGCACTGGGACTCAGTTTCCACAGCACAAACCAGGGAGGATCATTCCTGCTAAAACATTGCTTCCAGGAAAGAGAAGCTGGACAGCCAAACTCTGCCAACACACCAAAAGCCAAACTGACTTCACCTGGTATTAATCGCACCCGAGTGGGGATTCTGACAGAGAAACAGCAGAAACTAACCGTTCTGTGACCCAAGGAAAACACAGCCTGCCGCAGACTCTTGCCTAACTCTCTTTATACTGATATCAGATAAAGAAATTCAGAATCTGCTGTCACAAAGGTTTTCAGAAGACAAAAATGTCCCTAAAGATGTCGGCAGAAAACAGGTTGGCGTTAATTACTACACAGGACCATTGTGAGGGATG